TTTTTTTTGTCTTTTTGTTTTTGATAAATAGAAACAGACTTACGAGTTAAAAAAAGAATAAAACAGACAGATATTTATTTCAGATATTAATAATTATTCTTATTGTTATTTGTTTTTTGAATGGCTACAAAATCGAACACCGCTAATGAAAGAAAAACATCACAGGATTTAGAAAATAAATATCGATTACCAACTGAAAGTAAAAATCAATGGGATTTACGAAAACGTTTTCTTGAAAATTATTGGGATAAATATGACGAAGATCGTTTATTATGTTTAGCTCGTTAGTAGATTTAAATGTATATTAAAAGAAAAAAAATTATTTTATTGTATTTCAGAATGTTATGTCAATATGCGATGTTTGGGATGTAAATATTCAAAATCACTTGATTCATTAATTGAAGAACTTGCAAAAGAAATTGAATAGGAGTTACTTCAATTTGTTTAAATAGTCTAACAATTCTTTGTTATTATTGTTACTTATGATTAAAAAAATCAAATTATATATTGAAAAATCTTATTAATTTTGTTTTACTATTTTGTAATGAAAAAGATTTTTGATTGATCAACTGAAATTATGTTCGTTGTTGCAGTTTTTTTTATTCAACCCCCATCTTCTTTAGAATACGTTCATTTGAAATCTCGAAACATACATGTGTTTACCATAAAAATTAAATTTGATTGATGCTTTGCACGAATCATAATCTATATTGATGTCAGAGATGGAACCGGTATCAGTTACCGACCGGTGACTACCGGTGTGTCTTTGTATCTCATAGAGGATATGTAATGAAATTTCGTTGAAAGTTAACTACGTCTAGTATCACTATACACAAATAGAATAGTACGACAACTCGTCAGTTCAGTGTCGGTATGAATTTCAGATCGACCGATCCCGTTCCATCTCTGATTGATGTGATGCTTCGGAAACATAGGTGGGTAAGAGAAAAGTAAACATTTATTTATTAAATCCTCCCACAGAAGAGTAGTCTACTAGGTTTCTAATATGTTTCGCTAGTCACAAGTGTGGAGGTCAGTTTTTATAGCGATCAATTTTGTTTGTATTGTAGCTATGATTTCACACGCTTACAAGCATAGAACTGCACAAGATTCGATATATAGGAGTTTTCAAACTGTCTGAGAATTTTAATAGTTACGAATGAATCAAAAATTGACTTCCATACTTTTCAAGTTTCTTGTTATTGGATAATCTGAATGATACTTTTCTCATTCACACGTTCATCTCTCATCAGCACTTCGTCGATCTTGATATAGATACGTTAAATCACACTTATTGCGATACATTAGTTTGAAAAACTATCGAACTTTGAAGGAGTTGAGATAAAACTTCTATACGATTTTGCCAGGCGACATCATCTTAGAAGGTTATGTACAATTCAGATATCCAAGGTGATACAGTTCAATTATCTTGAAAGAAGTATAAAGTAAACATTTTACTATCAAATAATAGCTTCTCATTTTTATGAAATAGGTAGTTCAGATTTTATGTTTCAATAACAGATATCGTCCTCATCTCATATTTGCACTTGTTTTCCAGTTCGAACACCTCCCATGAAATTTCAACTGATCATCGTTCAGCTTTGTGAGTTGTCTCATCTTTCAGTTAAAGATTTTGTTCATATTTCTGTCACCTTAATAATAGTTTACATCGTTTCATTTCTAGACTGTGCATAATCCCATAACAGGAAAAAGGCGAAACAATGGTATTAAAGCATGCTTATTTCCTATTCATCAATTTCTGAACAATTGTCTCTCATTAATGTCTATGCGTACACGTTTTTTCAGCTCACCAAAGAAATCCTTTTGTTTGTTAATAGAAAATATGTGGAACAAACAAAATTAGATATATCGAAGGAGTTATAACTAAACAACAAAAAGCGATGAATAAATCTATTCGATGATTTACATTCCTATTTTACGCTCATTCGAATAGGATGGACTGCTTTTCAGTGAAAGAGGAGGAATTATATTAAATTATTATCAAAAATAGTTTTCTTATTTTTAAAATTCATTGATATAGAAAAATAATTCAAATAAGTAGATCTTCTAATAGGTCAATAATAGAAGAAGATGTTCATATGTTTATGTGATGTATGAAATATATATCAAATTATAACTGTTACATAGATCTTGATAATATCGTTTCCTCGTTTTTTTTTCCAATGTGAGAAATTTCATAATAGTTCTTTTCCTTTTTATAATCATTTGATTGAGAAATTGCAAAATATAAAGTGAATTTTATTTTTATCGTTGCAAATGGATTGTATTTGTTGTTCAATATAAAAACAGTACTAAAATTCAATTGAAATTAAAGAGCAACACATGTCTGCACCTTTATTTATTCTTATGCTTGATGAAATTCATCTTTTTATGAATATTCATTAGTTCAATTGAATATCAGTATTTAATTGATCAATAGATGGTTTAACCCATAATTTTGCTTTTTGAAAATTATGACAATCATAAAAAAATAGTGTGTTTCATACCAAACAAAGAATTATGGCTTTCACAATATATTTGTGATAAAAAAAAGTCTTACAACAAAAGAGTCATCATTCGATCCATAATATACATCATATTTAATCCGATACTCTATTTAGATTAAATTATAATGTCTGATCTTATTTTATTGTGACCACAAGAATTCATAGATATTAGAATTATAGCTACACTGTTAAGGCATAGTTTCGATCATTGATATATTTTTGTGCTATAAAGATATGGTCGGATAAAACATGCTCATTAAAGATAATTGACCAATTGTCTCAATGCGAAGTTTCGAAAGAGAAGAACAATATAACCCTCATATTTTTGACACGTACTACTCGAGTAAGATTTCAATAGACTATATGACAATACATTGTTATTCATGCTCTTATAAATAGTATCATTGTTTATTTACGTGAATGACGAAGTTATTCAGAGGACAATCAGTTGAGCTTGACACATTCCTAAAGAAACTTGACGAATTTGTACAAGAATTGATACGAAAGTATTTGATAATAATTTATGAGTCAATTGAAACTGCTCATTTGTATGGCAATGGAAGAAATAGTGACGTGGTAGTGTCTCTTGTTAGCAAAGATCGAAACTGATAGACTAAAGTGACACATACTATTGCCAGTTGTGACCAATATAGAAAAAGGTCAAGGTTTAAATTTGATTAAATGCACATTGAGGCATTATCAGAGAAAAAATCGGTATTATAACCTGTGTATGTGTGACTATTGTGCTAGTTTTATTGCAAAACTAATATCAATACCAGACTTAAATGTACTCAGCTAAAAATCACATGAATCGAGAACAACATCTCTTGATAGTCTATAACTTTCAACACTCGAAAAAGGAAATAATGGAATATTGATTTATATAAAATTGGATAGGTTTTAACAACAAAATTAACAGATAAGATTTTCCTTAAGTGAATTAATATAAATAATATACAATAAGAATTGAGAATAAATAAATAATGATTAAACTGATATTTCGCTTTATTTATATTTCATTCAGTAGGTTATATAGTTAGCACTAATATAGGCCATGATATTTATGTTAGTCAAAATCCATCTGGTATTTGTCATGATGTCAGTTTATATGGTTATCTATCAAAGTAAAGGATGGCAGCGCATAAAAACACATTTCCGCTTCTTTTGATTGTCAAGGCCTGATCTAATCAAGCCATGTATGCAATGAAATATCACTAGTTACTGATCATTTTAATATTAAAATCGAGGTATTTTGATTCGATCATAGCTGTAAACAGGGTCTATCTTCACGACATATTAAATGAGCAGTTAAATCCTATAGTCATTTGTTTAGTCCACATTTTTCTAATAGAACTATTTATTTAGAATAATGTATTCAATCTATTAGAAAGTATAAAAATCTTCCAACGCTTACATTTTAAGTTTTAACTATCCACGTATATTTTATTTGTTGTTTAGTTATTGTATTAATCAAACTTCCTCCACACTTAGTTCACTTCATAATCGATAGACCATTTTTGAAGTGATACAAAATGAACTAATTTTTACGGTCTAACAAAGTGGTTCACCTACAAAAATCGTTGATCCATTATTCCTCGAGGTCCAATTTTCAACTTTTTCGATTGATATTTGACGATTTTCAAGGAGAACAATACACGTTTCACTTCAAATAAATATTATATTTGGAATTAGC